ATTTACGACTTAGATGAGGGAATAGAAGGGGAACTTACCAAATTTGCAGGTGATACTAAGTTGGCAGGAATAGCTAACACCCAAGAAGATAGGCTCAAGATCCAGATGGATCTTGCAGACTAGAACACTGGGCCGTATCTAACAAAATGAAATTCAATGTAGAGAAAAGTAAAGTCCTACACTTAGGCAAGAAAAAAACAAGGTACACATATAGATTGGGTGAAACCAGGCTCAATAGTAGTAACTGTGAGAGGGATCTTGAAGTCTTAGTGGACAACCAGCTAAATATGAGCCAGCAGTGTGCAGCAGCAGTCAAAAAAGCTAATGCAATCCTAAATTGTATTAACAGAGGGATACAATCAAGATCAAGGGAAGTACTAATACCACTCTATAAAGCCTTAGTAAGACCACACCTAGAGTACTGCATCCAGTTTTATTCACCACATTATAAAAAAGATGTTGAGACTCTAGAAAAAGTACAGAGAAGAGCAACCAGGATGATTAGGGGACTGGAGGCTAAAACATACAACGAACGGTTGCAGGAACTGGGCTTGGCTAGTCTAGTAAAGAGAAGGACCAGGGGAGACATGATAGCAGTCTTCCAATATTTGAGGGGCTGCCACAGAGAGGAAGGGGTCAAGCTATTTTCTAAAGTGCCTGTAGGCCAGACAAGGAATAATGGATGGAAACTGAACAAGGAGAGATTTAACCTGGAAATAAGGAGAAACTTTCTGACAGTGAGAACAATCAACCAATGGAACAGCTTGCCCTCAGAAGTTGTGGGAGTGCCATCACTTGAGACCTTCCAGAAGAGATTGGACTGCCATTTGTCAGAAATGGTGTAGGGTCTCCCACTTGGGTGGGGGGTTGAACTATATGACCTGTAAGGTCCCTTCCAATTATCTGTTATCTATTATAACTTATCTATTAAACTTATCAAAAGTCACTACTTTACTAATAAATTCCAAATGCACATTTCTGGCGAACCCATTGTAAATTGCAGGCACATGACCATCAGGTGCTGCAAAAGGCTTCACATGTGAGTTGGTTGCCAAGTGCCCAAAATGTGATCACATGATCATGAGGAGAACCTGACATTAGAACTGTGGAACTGGGTCTTAAGTAGCTTTTGGGTAGTCCATCACAAGTCGAGGACTACCTATATAGTACAATTAATTATAAAATATTACTGTGAAATATAAAATTTCTGCCATTGTAACACATACTGCTTTATAGTTTGGTTAGTAGAAAAGATTGCTTTTCCCAGGAAGTTATACATTTGCACACATATGCACACCAGAACAACTAGACACAAGAACAGTTTTTTCCCGAAAGCCATCACTCCGCTAAACAAATAATTCCCTCAACACTGTTCAACTATTACAAAGTCTGCACTACTATTACTGTTAATCTTCTCATCACTCCTTATTGCCCATCCCCTCCCACTTGTGACTGTATGACTGTGATTTTGTGGCTTGCATCCTTATGATTTATATTGACTGTTTCCTGATATGATTTGATTGCTTATTGTACCATATGACTATTATTAAGTGTTGTACCTTATGATTTTGACAAATGTATCTTTTCTTTGATGTATACTGAGAGTATTTACACCAGTATTCTATTTCTATTTCTACATTTCCAGAGCTGTTTTTTAAGATATGGAATGCAACACATTCAAAATACAATTTATGGATGTTACAATTTATTGTAAGCTGCCCAGAATCACTCTGGAGAGTGACATGGGCAGCATATAAATGTAATAAACAAACAAACAAATGAATGAATAAACAAACAAACAAACAAATTTTAAACTCAAATCCACTGATACCAAAATGACATGAAGGTAACGATCAGAGATTCCAATTCTTTAGAGGATGTCAGAAATATTTACTTTTAAATCATTCTTGAGCTTTCAATGGAGATAGGTAATAGGTTTGCCTTCTGTTATGGATAATTCATAATCCATCAAATAAGAGAACATCTCAGATGTCTTTAGAGTGGGCAAAGCATCAGAATAAGCCATCAAAACCAGCTTAAGTAAAAAATATTGACTAGAATCAGAAAAACTCATTGCATAATAACTGGATTAAAAACATAATACCTATCTTAAAACATGGATCTAAAATCTTCTAGTAGTCTCTTAGATTCACAAAGGATTTATTTCCATCTCCCACTCTCAAATGTACTATTCTGTACCGGACAGAGATGAGCTTGTATATATACAACCTTCCATTGGAAAAAAATATCAAGGTAAGGCCTACTCCCTTAGCCTGATTAGAAAGGAAGTGTGTGTGTGAAAGTCCATATTTCTGTTCTTACTTACTTCAGTGATAATTAAGTACAGTCCAAAGTTGATGTTTCTCATCTGAAGAGGAGAGTCTGACCCCCTTTTCCTGATGGTGCCTGTCAGAAAAAAAGATATGATTGCCATTGTGATGTTATCATGAGGTTACTACTGTATCTGAATAAAGGAAACTGACCCTTGTGACTTCATGTCACCTGCGGGTAATTCTCAGTTTCCAACTCATCTTTCTTGCCTTTGGTGAAACTTGTACAGTATGAATGATAGTGTCTATCTAATTTTTTTTTAAATGTTCATAATTAAGATTTCAGAATGGAATAAAGGACTGCTTTCCAAGTAAGTTAAACTAAGTTTATTTAATCTTCTTGATTAAGATTTCAGAACGGAATAGAAAACTCCAAGTTAAACTAAGTTTATTTAAAATTTATCCTTATAGAATAGTGGAATTGGTGCATAACCATCCATAAATTAATGTTTTCTTATATTTAGGGCCAGTAACATATTACAGCCCAAGATATTCCTTTCCACAAAGATCAAAATAAATGACCAATAGAATAACATAGTGATTTTTACAATTGTCTGAGATTCCAAGATGTGTGGATGGTAAATATATGGATATGTTCTATAAGCAAACACTTTGTGCAGTTATGTTTTTATTCTTCATCCTTTTAATGTCTTTGTAGAAATAATTTTGTGTAGACTTTATTATTTCAGCTATTTCAACATTTTTCTCATTGGAAGTAGAGATTTATTTTTTTCTATTTGTGGTCATCATGTCTTACTGCTACAGCTTGATGATATCAACCTTCAGTGAAGATTGCAAGAGAAAATAAGTTTCTGATTTACAGAAAATTCCAAATGTGACATAAAGAACATTTCAAGAGAATAATAAAGAGATCATCATATAAAGTATGCTACTGACTAATCATAGCTTGGTAGCATGAATTATTTTTGTCTAATAGGTAGGGCTACTCATTTAGATAAATATAAGGTCTATAGTTCTATTCCACAACCAGTGGGGTCTGCAAAAGAACTTGCTGGATACTGCTGGAACTAGACAATTGTCATGACAATAATAATAATAATAAAAAAGAGTCAGAGTGCTCATCTTGATGGTTTTAATCCCCTCCTGGATGCTCTGGAACAAGCAGCCCATATCCAGTCTCCAATTAACAAATAACATATATGACTTTTTTTTAAAAAAAATCTGTGTATGAATGGGGTCAGATGAACACTTCGGATGACTTCGTTGAGAAATATTCAAATGGATCAACAAGTTATAAATCTCTAAACAACACAAAAATCTAAAGGGAAAGATTTTAATGTTAGATATCCTTTGGGATTCAGTATTAATTTGTATTTAAAAAATGATCAAATTAGCAGCAAATCTCCCAGGATTAATTATTTTAAATGTTTATGGAAATCATTTAAGAAACATTTCTGTCTCACAGAAGGAGGCATGGATTTTTCCAGCATGGAAGTTTACCGATAATTTGAAGAAATAGTAGCACTAAGTTCTGGAACATCTCTTAACTATGTCAGTTACTTGTTACAGGTACGTTTCAATCCAACTTCAGTATTATTGTATACTTTGGGAGGAGAATGTCCAATTTCATGATATTTTGCATAAAGACATTGGAAGGCTTCCCAAATTGTGCCAAACTATAATATGGGCTTATTATGGTTCATCATGTTTGAGAAGATGATTATAGCTGGAAATCATGATTTTAGTGTGGGTCCAGACACTGTGATTTATTCAACAATACATTTTTAAAAAATTGTATATTTTGGTAGTGTGTTACTCCAGCCCTAGCATCATCCCTCCAAAGAATTTTAGATACAGAATAAGGATTTTCTCTTTTGCTCATTCCTGGCAACTAAAGGACAAGTTTTGTCTTTTAGGAAAGATAACCTTTTAGGTATCTGTATTTCTCTGAATCACAGTTAACCCTGGAATATTATATAACTGGTTAAAGAAAAAACATTTGCAGAACAAGGTTACTGAAGGGAAACTATTTTCCTTTATGCAGGAACAGAGTCAGCAAAGAGCTCATGTTTCCAAAGTTGGAATGTTCCATGCAATATTGAAAACTATTGGCTTTCACATTCTCTTATTGTAGAGGAAACAAAGAGTAGATAGAAAGGGAATATTTACATAGGCCAATTACAATTTTTACTATAATTCTTGATGTAAAGTGATCAAGAAGTAGTATTGGAGACAGAAAATAAAGATCCTTTGGCTGTCCAACCAATCAGCTTGCTCATGCATCAGCATGAGCCACCGATCAGCTTTTGAGGATAGAAGTACATGACATATATTTTTTATGAATGTTTTAACAGGGTTGTGCTTCAGTTTCATTCCCTCAAAAAATTGGATTTTGCTTATCATAACCATCATGGTTTCAAAAATAGAAAAGAGAAATGGAGAAAGAAAAATTGTGTGAAAAACTGATTTAATAATACTTTTCTTTTAGTCATATATTCTTCCCAACTAATTTTTTTCCTCTAGATACAGTATATGAGTGGAATACTTGTGAACATTAGTTATCTACAATTCCTAAAATAAGTATTCATTACACAGATACCTACACATACAGAGACAAGGAAAGAAGAGAATTTTCAATATTTTGGATTTAAACAAGTCTTTTTAAAAAGTATATTCGAGATTTGATGAGACATTTCATGAATTAAGGAAATGCCAGATACAGAAAAGGAAAACCAGACAGCCATTCAAGAATTCATCCTTCTGGGTTTGGAAACTTTTCTGGAGCTGCAGATTCTTCTTTTTGGATTCTTTTTGGTGATTTATTTGATGACAATTACTGGAAACCTTCTCATCTTTCTGCTAGTTGTGACAAATCAGCATCTTCATACCCCAATGTACTTTTTCTTGGCAAATTTATCTTGGCTGGATGCTTGTTATAGTTCTACCATCTTGCCCAAATTGTTGGCCAATTTGTTGACTGGTGATGGAACTATAACTTTACGTGGATGCCTAGCCCAATGTCATTTATTTGGGATTTGTGCAGCCATAGAAACTTATCTTTTATCTGCAATGTCTTATGATCGCTTTGTGGCAATTTGTAGACCTTTGCTCTACAATTCTATCATGAATACAAAATTTTCTCTCCAGCTTATAGCTGGAACATGGATAAATAGTTTGATATTCAATGGCATTCTGGTGGGTCTCATGGATCCATTTCCCTTTTGTGGTTCCAATATCATAGACCATTACTTTTGTGATTTTCTCCCACTGGAGAAATTGTCCTGCAGTAATAGAAATTTTCTTGAGCCCATTGCCTTTTTCATGACTGTAATTTTTACAATTGCCCCCTTTTTATTGACTCTCATCTCTTACATCTGCATTATTGGTACTATCATAAAAATAAAATCCAACACCGGAAGGCAAAAAGCCTTTTCAACTTGCTCATCTCATCTCATGGTAGTTTGCCTCTATTATGGCACATTAATCATTGTCTATGTGTTGCCAGACTCCCCTACTTTGAGACCTCTCAATAAAATAATCTCAATTTTTTATACAGTGATGACACCTTTGGTGAATCCCCTAATTTACTCTTTAAGAAACAAAGAAGTTCATAAAGCCCTAAGACGACTTTACAGCAAACTGGTCATTTTGGGCTCTCCCAAACTACCAGTTCGTGCTTAATTCATTAGCTTGTGTTAATGTTGTATCTCAATACAAATATTAAATAAAAGATATTTAAATATTTAGTTATTTAAAGGGATGGATTCTGAATAAAACCATGGTGGGAATACCTATAATATCAGGATTGAAATACACTGCTTTCCATCTCTTTCTTACAATTGTTTCTTTCTACTGTATGATTCCTTTTAGCATATTTTATTGTGGATACTAGGAAATATAAAGTTATATACAAACTTATATTTCTTGTTTATTTCTGTGGTTTTCCAAGTGTTTTCATACAATTATATACTATGCATGTTGTATATGTATAAAAATGGTTCAGTGGGCTTTTGAAAATATATCAATAAAAATCAATAAAATTTGAAAAAAAAGAAAGAAAATATTTTATACAACTAGAACATGTTTATTCATTATCATTTTTTCTTGTGTTTTTTCCTATATTTCTCATCTGTATTTTGAAGATAAAAATCAGGTGTAAAGTTTATATATATTTGGTTTGGAGATAATCGTGAAGCTTAATTCACAGCTGCTCTGTTCCAATAATTTAGGAATAGGACATTTAAATATAACTCTAAACAACTTAAAATGTGCTCTAAAATTCCACATTCCATTGTTCAGTTTCCATTTTTCTTAATATGGAAAATTGCAAGATATCATGGTAACTTTCCATCAATGCCCTGCTAACTCCTCTTAATCAGCTAAATTATCCCTCTTGATTGATCAAGAATAGTTGATACTCTTTTCAGCATGTCAGAATTTTCAGAAACTAAACATTTCCTGGATGAATTGTGTTTATCAGAATTTATCTCCAATTGCACACACCAAACAATGATATGCTTGACTGATTAATCTTGTGTATTCATCTTAAATTCTGTTTTGTGAAGGTTGATTAGCACATACTCTCCCCCCTCCCCTGACCATTCTTTGGGAATCAAGTTAGGAACACACCTGATCACAAATTAGAAATATATCTTTAAGGCCTACTTCTTAAATTCTTCTAATGAACACCATAGTTAAATTTCAGTTGGCTCTCCCTTTTCATTCATACTTAATTTTCTAATTCCTTGGATTCTTACTATGTTGTATACATTATTCATGTTCTGCAATAGCTTCTGCTTATCCTGTAAAAGCAATCACTAACTCACAATGGGTAATTGTCAGGAAGCATGTGAGAGATAGCAATCATACCTGTATCTGGAGCACTTAGAATATCCATAAAACAAAGGACAACATAATTGGATTACCAATTGAGTAAGCCACCATTAAAATAAATGGAGGACTGTATTTGATACTAAAATTAACAAACTATTCAGAACTTGAGTAATAACTATTAAGAACCAAAAGTAATAAAGAAGTAATCAGGGATCTGTTTGGTACAAAAAAATAGTGCAAGCCTCTCCAAGTGAGATATGGAAAGATTACGATTAATAACAAGCAATGGCACAATAAAAAAAACTCTCTTCTGGAGGAGAGTGGTGAGAATGAAACCTAGGGGAGGCAAATTTGGAAGTGATTGTATGAGATGCTGAGAGAAAGAGTTTAATTGCATGAGTAATTGAAGAAACTTAGAGCAGCTTATGAAACTAGTTAAGAATGCAGTAGTGAAATAATTTTATTATTTAGATTTCTGTTCTTTCTCCTATCCAGTTATATTATCATTCTTCACAGATTTAGAGAAAAGCAGAATCTCACAGAAAAAGGAGGAATGTTAGAAAGAAAAAAAAAACCATCAAATAGTAATGAGCAGAGTAGAAATATTGTTGAAGATACTGGGATATTTGTTTTCCAATTGAAACAATTCCATAAATCTTAAGATTTTCAATATCCCATAAGCGATCGGAAATTTTTGAGTCTTTTCATGAAAGAAGATGGGTGATTCAAATTCACCATGTGGTTGATATTCTTATTTCTTATGAAACCCACACCAATTAAATTGTCTCTACAAACTATAACCTACATCTTCCATTACAACAAAAGTGCATCTACACTCTATGGAATTTCACTTATTTGTTTGTTTATTTAACTTATGTGCCATCCATCTTATCTACAGGCAACTCTAGGTGCTTTACCATCAACAAAAACAAGACAAAACATGAATATATAAAAGCAATCAATATTAACCCTAAATTTGTTTTAAATCCTATTGTAAGAGATGCAACAATAGATCTCTTGCATTATCTATAATAATTTATATGATTGACCATACATTTTCTCTGTGAAAAGTCTTTCATTCTATAGAATTTTTTCCCTCTTTCATACCACAATAGACACAAACAATTCAAAACAATTTCTAGAAATAATATTTTGGATGCAGTATGTGGCAAATGTTCTTACTTTGTTCCCAAATACCAGACTTGTAAAGGTAGTCAAAAAAGTTGCTTTTTCACAGTTTAGGTAGTACCTTGTTTGTGAGGTGGTATGAGATCACAACCATAATGAGAGACTTCATATGAAAAAAAAATATTCCCAACTATTGATATTCCCAGTTTTTACCCCACAACATCTCATCAGAACAAGTGTCTTCATAGTGTTCTACATTCATCCTACAATTTATCTGCCTTTAAGATAAGGATTGGCAACTAGAGCTTTACAGACATCAACTAAGGTGTCTGCCACCTACTCTGAAGACCAAAAATAAATACTGAAAGCAAAAATGTAATATAATTCTAGTGAACGTCAAAGCAGAATGCCAATCTCTGTCACCTTCATTTCCATGAATGCTTCTGTGGCTTAAGAAGCAGAATATAAGGTGGGTGATGACATCACAGTGCTTTATCCAGAAGTGAGATTTCTGCTGCCCACCCTTCTCCCCACCAAGATGTCAAAGGGCCAATGGTATAGGAGAAAACAATCTGAGAAAATAAGAATAGACTTGGATCTTTGCTGTTGTTAAACTTAATTTTAAATGTCTAGGAGACAAACAGTAATCTACAGGATCATCCTTACCTTACCAGGATCCTAGTATCCTCAAAAAGGATGAAACTTCCAATGTGAAGCATTCACTTGAAAAGCTAAGCATGCACTCAGAGAAAGCCCTTATTGAGTGATGCTACATAGCACAGTCAAATGACAGCACTGGAAATGATTTAAGACATTTTGTATTAAGTCGTAATCTAGTATGTAGTTTTGGGTAGAAGCTAGGTATATACCCCCATATACGTCAGATCAACTGTAGCTTTGAATACAAAGTATTATAAGCTAGAACAAGGGACCCTGAAAAGTCTAGACAAAGTCTGTTAAAAAGAAGGAGGAAAAAATGGGTGGTGAAAGATTTAGGGAAGGCCTCAAATCTTCCAATGAGAACTGAACATTTCTTTATTCACAACAAGTTCCAGGTTTGAGACTATAGTTTACATAAGAGGGTTATGAGTGGTTGTGACAGGCAGAAGGATGGAAAAGTTCCTCTTCTTACTAGCGTCTCTCAACCACAACTTAACTTCTGGGTTAGGAGGTTCTGGCTGAGAACATGCTGGCTGGGAAATTCTGAGAGCTGAAGTCCACACATCTTAAAGAGGGTAAGGTTGATCAACATTGCTCAATATGACTTTGTTCTATCCAATTGGTCCCTTTGACTCTTGATTATGCCAGGCTCTTGTGAAAAACAGACTGTCTGAACCGATCACACAAATTAAGGAAGATATAAGAGGAACACAGTAGTAATGTTTGTTCTGTCTGGAAGGATGGGTCCAAGAACGGAGACGAGACTCAGAAAGTGACAAGCTCTTTATTAGTGACTTCCGATCTGAGCGAAAGCTCCTAGCCGCAGCAGCCCCTTTTATAGAGCTGGCTGCGGCTAAACAGCCAATGACAGTGGTTTGAGCTTGCCGCGCTTGGTTCGCCCAATCGCGGCAGCCCGTTTACCAGCCAATCGGATCAGTCTGGAGTGACCAATCACGACCTGCTGTCAGCGGACCAATCCGCTTTGCAGGCTTCAAGCCTGCTAGTCCGGAACACCCCTCCCCTCTAGGTTCCGTCTAAGGGGTGGGGTTATATAGTCTTGCAGGTAGGCGGGTCTTCGCACCTGTCTACCTGACTTGCGCTGTTCGAGTTGTCTATGCTCGGTCTCGGGTTCCGATGGGCTGCTTGCCTGGAATGGTGAGCCGGTTCCGTAGCTGTGACTCCCTTCAGGTGACCTTGGGCTGATTGGCACGCCTCCTTCGCTGCTACTGCTTGTGCTCTCAGGATTCGCTGGACCCGTTCGGTTGCTGCTACTAGGTGAGATGATCATTTGCCAAGGCTCTTCATCAGCTGGTGAGTACTGAAAGCTTGGACGTGGTGATTGTGGGGTTCTTTCTTCTCTGCCAGATGTTGGTTTAATTTCAGAACCCCCGGTTTCCCTTCCCCCTCTGGTTTCGTGGTTAGGGTCACTGATGGGAGATGTGGTTAGCCTGGATCGCAGCTGGTCGATGTGGCGTTTCCACACTCTCCCATCTGTGGTTTCCAGCCAGTAAGAGCGGGGGCCTGTAATTTGAGTTATTTTGGCAGGGATCCACAGAGGATCACCTGAAAAGTTCTTAGCAAATACAGGGTCTCCTACCTTGAAGGCACGGTGTTTACTGCTGGAGCCCAGGGGTTTTTCTGGGGTGTATGCAGGGTGTAGGCAGTCTAGAGGCGATCTGAGTTTTCTGGCCATCAGAAGCTCAGCTGGGCTTTTGTTTGTCGTGGTGTTTGGTGTAATATGCTGGAGAAGGAGCATCCTGGTGACTTTATCGTGGATGTTGCCTTGTTCCATTTTTTGTAGAGTTATTTTTGTGAACTGAACCATGCGTTCAGCTCTACCATTTGCCGTCGGGTGAGCCGGCGATGTCAGTGCGTGTCGTATGCCGCGGTCTGCTAAGTATTGTTCAAAAGCCAAGGCGGTAAATTGAGGGACGTTTTCGGATACCAGGACATCAGGCAAACCATGTGTTGTGAAAAGTCTGTTTAATTTTTTGATGACTGCATCTGTGGTGGTAGTCTTCATCTTGTTAACCTCGAGCCAGTTCGAGTATGCATCTACT